AGAGAAAACATACCTCAATATAATAAAGGCCATATATGACAAACTCATAGCTAACATCATACTCAATGGGACCAAAGTAAAAGTATTTTCCTCAAGATCAGGAACAAGACAGGGTCATCCACTTTCACCACTCTTATTCTTCATAGTAATGGAAGTCCTAGCCACAGCAATCAGATAAAATAGGAAAGGAAGATGTGAAACTATGATTATTTACATATAGTATTATACAGTATTGTACGTAGAGAACCCTAAAGAGTCCACCAAAAAACTATTAAAACTGATAAATTGATTTAGTATATAGCAGAATACAAAATAAATATTCAGAAATTGGTTGCATTTTTACACACAAAAATGAACTGTTAGAAAGGAAAACTAAAATATATTCTCATTCACAATTACATAAAAAAATACATAGAAATAAACTAAACCAAAGAGATAAAAAAAAAACAACATCTGTGCTCAGGAAATTATAAGACACTGAAGAAAGAAATGGAAGAAGATTCAAATAAATGGCAGCATGCACCATGCTCTTGGATAGAAAGAAATAACACAATTAAATCTACCCAAATAAATCTATAGATTCAATGCTATTCCTATCAAAATATCAATGGAGTATTTCACAGAATTAGAAAAACTGAAAAAAAATTTTTATGAAATCAAAAAGTCCTTAAATAGCCTCTGCAATCTTGAAAAAGAAGAACAGAGTTGGAATTATTATGCCACCTGATATAAAACTATACTATAAGGACAAAGTAATCAAGACAGCATGTTCCTGGCATGTGAATGGACACATAAATTAATTTAACAAAATAGAGAGCCCAAAAACAAGTCCATGGTCAATTAGTTCACAAAGGAAGCAATGTAGTAAAGACTGTTTATTCAATAAATGGTATTGGGAAAATTGAACAGATATGTATATATATAAAAAAACTAAACCAGATCACCTTCTTACACCACACACAACAATAAATGCAAAATGAATGAAAGACTTAAAATGTAAGACTCAAAACCATAAAAGTCCCAGGAGAAAACACAGGCAGTAATATCTCAGGCATTTTTCTTAACAGTATTTTTTCTGATATGTCTCTTCATGCAAGAGATAAAGAAGAAACTAGTGGGACTACATGAAGCTAAAAGAACTTTACACAACAAAGAAAATCATCAACAAAATGAAGTCAGCTGACTGAAGGGGAGGAGATATTTTCCAAGGTTAAAAAAAACTCCTAATACTCAACACCAAAAACAAAACAAACCAACAACAATTGCCTGCAAGTATGTGGAGGAAAAGGAACCTCATGCACGGTTGGTGTGAATGAAGACTGGTCTGGCCACTGTGGAAAAATAGTATAAAGGATCTTAATAAATTTAAAGTGGACCTGCTTCATGACCAAGCAATTCCACTTCTGGGTACATATACAAAGAAACCCAAAGCATTAATTCAAAGGAATATATGCAACTAAGTGCCCACCAATAGACAAGTGGGTAAAAATATGGTAGTACATGTATACAATGAAATATCACTCAGCCATAAAAAGGAATGAAATCTTACCACTTGTGACATGGATGGACATGAGGGTTTTATGCTAAGTGAAAAAGTCAAATACCATATGATTTTACTTATGTGGCTCTAAAGAACAAAACAAACAAACAAAAAAATTTAAACAGATTTATAGACACAGATAAAAGAATGATGGTTGCCAGCAGGGAGTAAATTGGGAACCTGGGTGGAAATGGTGAAGGGATTAAGAAGTGCAAATTGGTTGTTACAGAATAGTTATGAGGATGTAAAATACAGCATAAGAAATATAGTTAATAATATGCAATAACTATTCATGGTGTCAGGTGGATACTAGCCACCATACTATAAACCTGAAACTAATCTACACTAATAAAAGAGTAAGATACAAATTGACCAAACCTTCATGATGCCCACCAGCCAATCAGGAGCGAGTATGCAAATTAATACAACAAAGATGGTAGGTTTATTTGCACATGCAGGTGCCAAACAGCCAGGGGTGGGGTGGGACACTTGCATCATTGCCATGGCCACCCCAGCCACTCCACATCTCTGGGCAGCATGGGAAGGCTGAAAGGTGGCTCTGGGCCAGAGCAAAAAGGTGGCTCCAGCCAGAGTGAAGACGATGCAGGCAGCCAGGTGAAGGAAGGCCCAGTATTGCATGAATCTTCATGGCATCAGGCCTCTAGAACAAAGTAATGTTGAATGCCAATTGTAATTGACAAATATTAAAGATTAAAAATAGAGAGATCAGAAAAAAATAACATGGAGTAACAATAGATTCCAGAAGACCACATAAAGTATACTATTTCTATGATCTTCCTTCCCGAATCCCATGGACCCATTAGACTTGTCTAATTATTAAAAAAACAAACAAACAAACAAACAAACAAAAAAACAAAAAAAACAACAACAACAATTGGCCAGTACCACTCAAAACTGTCAGTGTCATCAAAAATAAGAAAACTGTCACAGCCAAGAAGTACCTAAGGAATCATGACTACTAAATGTAGTATTCTGAATTGGATTATGGAACAACAACAAAAGAAAATTACATTATTGATTTAATTTTGGGAGAGAGAGAGAGAGAGAGAGAGAGAGAGAGAGAGAGAGAGAGAATCTATTTATTTATGCTTCATTGAGTGTGCCCTGACTGGTGATGGAATCCATAGCATTGGCTTATCAGGATGACACTCTAACCAACTGAGCTCCTGTCGAGGACAAGAACATTACATTGTTTTCAAAACTAGAAAATCCAAATAAATTTTGAATGTTAGTTAACAATGATGTATTAATATTTGTTCATTAATTGTAACATGTACCACACCAATGTATGCTGTTAATAATAAGAGAAACTGGATGCAGAATATATGGATTTATTTCTCTGTATTATTATTTTATTATTATTATTTTGTTTGGTAAATTTAAAGCCATTCTAATTTATTTTTTTTAATAAGGGGCATTTGCAATCCTATATAATAAAAGAGTAATATGCATATTAACCATCACTCCACTGCACCCACAAGCCATGCCCACAAACCACGCCCACAAGCCAATCAGGAGTGAGTGTGCAATTTAACCCAACCAAGATGGCTGCAGCCACAGAGAGAGCAGGAGAGAGGCTTGGGTTTCCCCAGCGATGGAGGAAACCAAGCTTTCTGCACATTCTGGCTGGCCCAGGTCTCTGCTTAAGGTTACAAAGTTTCAATTATAGAAGATACATAAATCCTAACAGAAATGGCTGCTGCCAAGGAGCAAGCAGAAGGCTTGGCTCCACTCCAGGATACAAAGTTTCAATTGTAGAAGAAAAATAAATCCCAGATACCAGGGCGTCTGCTTGGGTCGCCAGTGGGCGTGGCTGGCTGTAAAACCATCACAGGCTCCTCGCTCAGGCTGCCCCATGCCCCAAGGGAACCCACACCCTCATCTGGGACACCCTTCAGGGCAAACCAGCTGGCCCCCACCCATGTATCAGGCCTCTATCCTATCTAATAAAAAAGTAATATGTAGATTGACCATCACCCCAACACACAATAGCTGCCCCCATGTGGACACAAGATGGCCAGCAAGGAAGGGCAGTTGGGATAGACCAGGCCTGCAAGGAAGGGCAGTTGTGGGTGATCAGGCCAGCAGGTTAGGGCAGTTGGGAGGGACCGGGTCTGGAAGGGAGGGCAGTTGTGGGTGATCAAGCCTGCAGGTGAAAGCAGTTAGAGGTGACCAGGCCTGCAGGGAAGGGCAGTTAGGAGTGACCAGGCTGGCAGAGGAGGGAAGTTAGGGGTAATCAGGCTGGCAGAGGAGTGGTTAGGAAGTGATCAGGCTAGCAGGCAAGCGGTTTGGAGCTAGTAGTCCTGGATTGTAAAAGGGGTGTCAGACTGCCCGTTTAGGCCATCTGGCAGTCAGAAACCCCTCAAGGGGTCCCAGATTGGAGAAGGTGCAGGCTGGGCTAAGGGGCACCCCCGCCCTTGCACAAATTTAGTGCACCGGGCCTCTAGTTCTATTATAACAATCATTCTGTTCTTTTTACTCAACTTTCTTCTTAAGAAAGTTCAGGCCCTGGATGGTGTGGCTTAGTTGGTTGGGCATTATCTATGCCCAGAAAGGTTGCCAGTTCAATTCCTGGGCCATATAGTCTCAATTTCTAATAGGGGCCTGTGTGCAGGAGGCCAATGATTGATGTCTGCTTTCATATTGATGTTTCTCCTTCTCTCTCCCTCTTCCTTCCTCTAGCTCTAAAAATCAATAATCTATTCTTAAATTAAAAAAGAAAAAGTTCACAAATGTCAGATAATGGTTATTTTATTTATTTATTTATTTATTTATTTATTTTACCATTTTAAAGCATAGTAAAAATAAGTAAAAATAATAAAGCATAGTGTGTTATCTTTTTCACTAGTATTTACACTTTAATACCTTCTCCTAATTATCAATGTAAGATTTTACACTTCTGAAAGTATTTAAGGAATATTTTTATGGCATGCAATAATTATGTAACATATCAATTAATATGTCAATAGCCATAGGCTTATTTGATTATCATATATTACACGCTTGAAAATAAGCTTTCAGGTTTATTATTCAAATGGTATTTGTGTAGCAGAACAATCGCTTTTCACACTCTAAATTAGGGGTGTCGAACTCAATCAGAGAAGGGGCCAAAATCTAAAATCCAGCCTAAATCGCGGGCCAAATGGTTTACTGAACTGTCATAAACTGTCATTGTGATGGAAACACAGCGGAGTGCAGTGATGACAGCGCGGTGCGGGCCACATTGCAAGGCCTGGCGGGACGAATTTGGCCCGCGGGCCTTGTGTTTGACACATGCGCTCTAAATGCTCTTCAACTTAGCCTAACATTTCGTTTTAGCCTATATTTCTTCCTATTTGTTGTTTTCTTAGACTGTATTCATTGTGTCAGTGTCCTGTAGTAAGCTCTCTTTCCTTCCCCTCCACTCTCTCTCCCTTTACCATTCTCAGATGCTGTAAAGTCTGTTTATTCTTTGGAAGATAAAATGATTGGACTATATGTGGTGATGATGAGTACCACGGGCCTTGCTTACCTTCTCTTTGTTATCTTTTTGGACACAGCTTGGTGGAAAGTAAAAGCACTTCTCTATCGATACATTTACTTTGGTATCTATAAGAAGTACCACAAGGTGAGTAATTAAGCCTTAATAACTCTAAAAAAAATGTAACATTAGTCCTGACTGGCATGTTACTTCATATAACTACCTCAGTTACTAGAGAAAAGAAAACACTATGTCCCCAGAAATAGATATTTTTAAAATAAAAATTATTGAGGTATAATTTACCTGCAGTAAACTATTCATTTTGCTGATGACTTCAAAGAATTAAAATTTGTCTATTAATTTGCTCTATTATTTACTATTTTCTCTTTTGATGATTTTTTTTGTTCTTTATCATTTCCTTCCATCTATTCCCCATTGTTCTAGTTTCTTTAAGTGAAACCTAAAGCTATAGCATTTATCTCTTTCTTCTTTTCTAATATAATCATTGAATGCTAAACATTTCCCTACAAGGAGTACCCTGAAAAAATGTTATTTCTTATATTCTTATTATCATTTAAATGTTCAAAGTATTTTCTAATTTCCTGTATGATTTCTTTTTTGACATATGGACTGTTTAAAAGTTTGTATATTAATTTCAAAATATTTGGGAATTTTCTAGATATATTGTTGTTATTGGTTCCTAATTTAGTTCCTCTATGGTCTAGTATGTAATTTTTTATTTTATTTTATTTTATACTAAAGGCCCATGCATGAATTCATGCATGGGTGGGGTTCCAAGGCCTCAGGACTTTCTTTCATTCCACACTGCCCCTTGGTGGTCAGCGCATGTCATAGTGAGTGGTCAAACTCCCAGTTGGTCGAACTCCCAAGGGGGAAATTTTCATATTAGCCTTTTATTACATAGGATTATATAGGATTTTAAATTCTTTATTGTTGAAAGTATTATATATGTTAGTTGTCCTCCATTAATCTCTCCCAGCTTGCCCTGACCCCCCCAGCATAGGTATTCATTCCCCTATTGTCTGTGTCTATGGGCCATGCATATATGCATACAAGTTCATTGGTTGATCTCTTCACAACTGTCTCTCGCTCCTGCCCCGCTTCACCCTGCATCCTCTGCCTTCTCTCAGTTGTGACAGTCTGTTCAGTGCTTCTATGTCTCTGGTTCTATTTTTTGTTCATCAGTTTATGTTGTTCATTATATTTCACATATGAGTGAGGTCGTGTGATACTTATCTTTCTCCAACTGGCTTATTTCATTTAGCATAATAGTCTATAGGTTTATCCATGCTGTTGTGAATGGTAAGAGTTCTTTCTTCTTTACAGCTGCATAGTATTCCATTGTGTAGATGTGCCATGTTTTTTAATCAATTTATCTGCTGATGGGCACTTGGGCTGTTTCTAAATCTTAGCTTTTGTAAATTGAGATGTTATGAACATAGGGGTGCATACATTCTTTCTGGTTGGTGTTTTTGATTTCTTGGGATCTATTCCTAGAAGTGGAATCACTGGGTCTACTGGGAGTACATTTTTAATTTTATTTTTAGGAAACTCTGTACTGTTCTCCATAGTGGCTGCACCAGTTTGCATTCCCACCAGCAATATAGGAGGGTTCCTTTTATCCACATCCTTGCCAACACTTGTTGTTTGCTGATGGTAGCCATTCTGACAGGTGTGAGGTGATGCCTCATTGTTGTTTTGTTTTTAATCTTTTGGATGATCAGTGACTTCGAGCATTTTGTCATATGCCTCTTGGTCTTCTTTATGTCCACTTTGGAGAAGTGTCTATTTAAGTCCGTTGCTCATTTTTTAATTGGAATGTTTATCTTCCTTATTTAAAATATATTTTATTAATTTTTTACAGAGAGGAAGGGAGAGGGATAAAGAGTTAGAAACATCGATGAGAGAGAAACATCAATCAGCTTCCTCTTGCACACCCGCCCCTGGGGATGTGCCCACAACCAAGGTACATTCCCTTGACCGGAATCGAACCTGAGACCCTTTAGTCCACAGGCCGACGCTCTATCCACTGAGCCAAACCAGTCAGGGGTATCTTCCTTTTGTTAAATTGTGTAAGTTCCCTATACATTTTAATGATTAACACCTTTGCCAATGTGTCATTGGCAAATTAGTTCTCCCATGCAGTGGGCTCTCTTGTTATTTTTATGATTTTTTTTTCTGTGCAAAAGCTTTTTATTTTGATGTAGTCCCATTTGTTTATTTTCTCCTAGGAAATGTACTGGTAAAATATAGTGCTATGAGAGATGTCTGAGATTTTGCTGCCTATGGATTCTTCTAAGATTTTTATGGCTTCCCATCTTACATTTAAGTCCTTTAACCATTTTGAGTTTATTTTTGTGTATGACATCAGTTGGTGATCTAGCTTTATTTTTTGCATGTACCTTACCAAATTTCTCAACACCATTTATTGAAGATTGTCTTGACTCCATTTTATGCTTTTGCTTCCTTTGTCAAATATTAATTGAGCATAATGGCTTGAGTTGATCTCTGGGTTCTCTGTTCTATTCCATTGGTCTAAATGTCTGTTCTTGTGCCAATACCAGGCAGTTCTGAGAACAGTGGCTTTGTATTATAATACAGCTGATATTTGATATTGGGATCCCTCTAAGTTGTTGTTCTTTCTCAGGATTGCTGCAGCTATTTGGGGTCTTTATTTTAATCCATATGAATTTTTGGAGAGTTTGTTTTATATCTTTGAAATATGCTGTTGCTATTTTAATGGGGATTGTATTGAATTTATAGATATATCTGGGCAATGAGGATTATTTAATGATGTTGATTCTACCAATCCATGAACACGATGTATTCTTCCATTTATTTATGTCTTTCTCTATATTGTTTTTCAACATCCTGTAGCTTTCTGAGTACAGGAGATTTTTCATCTCCTTAGTTAAGTTTATTTCTAGGTATCCTAATTTTTTCTTTGCAATGGTAAATGGGATTGTTTTTGTTTTGTTTAGTTTCTCTTTGTATGAGTTCATTATTGATATATAAAAATGCCATAGATTTCTGGATGTTTATTTTGTATCCTGCTACATTGCTGAATTCATTTATTATATCTAGTAGATTTTTTAAGGAGTCTTTAGGTTTTCTATGTACAATATCATGTTACCTTCAAATAATGACAATTTTATTTCCTCTTTTCTTATTTGGATGCCTTTTATTTCTTCTCGTCTGATCACTGTGGCTAGCATTTCCAGTACAATGTCAAACAGGAGTGGATAAAGTGGGCATCCTGTCTTGTTTCTGTTCTTAGGAGGGATGGTCTTAGATTTTGTCCATTGAGTTGTACTTAAATGTTTTAAAATAATCATATTTGTTCTTTGGCTCAACATATGATCCATCTTTGAAATATTCCATATGTACTTGAAATAAATGTGCATTTTGATTTATTAGTTGTAATGGTGATTAATGGTATTGCTTATATCACTTAGTCTTTAACTGATATTTTTGTCTGGTTGATTATTGATTGCTAACAATAGGGCTTATAACTATTTATTTTTAAAAAATATGTTTTATTGATTTTTTACAGAGAGGAAGGAAGAGAGATAGAGAGCTAGAAATGTCGATGAGAGAGAAATACCAACCAGCTGCTTCTTGCACACCCTCCACCGGGGATGTGCCTGCAACCAATGTACATGCCCTTGACCGGAATCGAACCCGGGACCTTTCAGTCCGCAGACTGACACTCTACCACTGAGCCAAACCAGTTTCGGCAGGTTTATAATTATGAATTTCTCCCTTTAATTCTGTGAATTGTTCCTCTCTATAGTTTAATCTCTATAATTATTTCAATAATCATTTATTATTATATATCTTCCTGGTGAATTGGCTAATGAAATGTCAACCTATATCTCTGGTAATATTTTTGGTCTTGAAGTCTAATTCCTTTGATATTCAAATGGCACCTTCAGTCTTCCTGTACTTACTATTTATTGTACAGTATATCATGCACACCCATTTATTTTCAAACTTGTGCCTTTATATTTTAAGTGGCTTGCTCTAAATAACATGTAATTAGTTCCTAACTTTTTATCTATTTTGATAGTTTCTGACATTTAAATTTGAGCATTTAGTTCTTAGTTGATATGGTTGTATGATTATTTGTCTTCTCTTTGTCTCTTCTTTTTTTCTATGCCTTCCCATTCCTGGCTTTCTTTGGGTTACTTTAATAAACTCGGAATTCTATTTTAATTTCTCAGTTGACTTTTTAGCTATACTTCTTTGCATTAGCTTTAGTGATAAGTGTAGGGTTTATAAAATATGTACATAATTCCATAGTCTTTTTAGAGTTAATCTTTTAAACTGTAGAAGACTGAAACCATAAATGTCCATTTCTACCCTTCCTTGGTTATAATGCTATAGTTTCCATATATCTTATATGTCTATGTCATTGTGTTATGTATCCTATATAATAAAAGGCTAATATGCAAATAGATGAACTATTATGCACACTGAACACCAGGGGGAAGTTGCTCAATGCAGAAGCTGTCCCCGGTGGTCAGTGCCCTCCCATTGAGAAAGCACTGCTTAGCCAGAAGCCAGGCTCACAGCTGGCAAATGCAGCGATGGTGGCAGGAGAGGCAGCACTAAGCCCATTCTCCACGGGGAGTAGGCCTGAGCTGTCAGATGGACATCCCCTGAGGGCTCCTGGACTGCGAGAGGATGCATGAATGTCGTGCACCAGGCATCTAGTGATAAATAATACTGTAGGTGTGGTTCTGCTTTCCACTACAGTAACCATGTTCATATTCTTTTTGGTGATAGAAAGCTGTGGTCACATATTTCAAAGTATTGTAATTAATAGGAAAATGCTTTTATATTTATCTAGATATATTGCATCTTTGGTGCTGTTCATTTTTCCTCTATATGTGAGTTTGCCTTTGCTATCATTTCTTTCTAGACTGAAGACTTTCTTAAACATTTCTTAAGTGAAAAACTTGAGAACTATCTTAGTTTCTTTTATATGAAAAATATTTGCCTTTATTCTTGAAGTACATAATTTTAAAAGTCTGGATTTGTAGGGGTTTTTTCTGCCTTTTTTCTTTTTTTCTCAACACTAGCAATGGCACTGTACTTTTCTGGTTTTTTAAAATTTAAATGGG